TTCGGACAATATTTTTGAAAAGTATAAAAGAGAGCTGAATTTTTCTTTCTTTTTAGATGTTGTCATTCTCTCCTCCATTTGATATTCTTCTACTTTGATTCGACCTTTGCTATAAGAGGGTTTTGTGATGGCCTTGGTACAGCCTTGTTTTTCATTAGATTAGATTTTCGTTTTGTCCGTTTTTGAGTTTTGGGTTTAAGCTCGGGTTTGGATTTTGGAGTTGCTGGAAGAGGATTAGTTGTTCTCCTCATTGACCTAACATAACTCCGAAGTTTTATCGCATTCGGAACGGTTCCGTTTTGGTGTCATTTGAGATTTTCATCTCAAATTGTGGTAGGGGTGGCTTACGCTTGTAATTTGCATTTTCTTTGAGTCTTTTGGGATGTGGGAAGTTGTAAGCATTTATATTTGCTAAATGGAAATGTGAGCCTAATTGTTTACTTAGTGTATACTGATGTTTATAATATTTAAGGTATAAAATTGTTATTATTTTGCCTTAGGCTTACATTGGGTTTTGGAAATGTCAAACATGATTGGAAGAGGTAAATTTTGGTATTTTGTTAATATATATTTTCCTAATCATGTTTTTTGTGCAGATGATATCATTATGGATATTTTTGTGCATATGTGTTTATATGCATTTAGATGATTTGGTTAGATGTTTACTTGTGTAGTTTAGACATCCTTGTTGCATTGAGATTTTCTTTATCATGTGTGAGTCATGGTGTGTATGCCACTTTGGCCACGGGTTCATTGTAGTTATCATTGAGCTTATGGGTTCATTGGGTGCGTAGCACGGCATTCATGATATATATATATATATATATATTGATGGATAAATGTTATCTATAGGGTGTGGAAGAGCACTCAATTATTTGATGGATAGATGTTATCCATAGGATGAGAAAGGGCATTCATTTGTTTCTAGGTGCAGAATTTTATTCCGGTACAACATCATTTTGCATCATGGAGTTACATGTGTGAATTACATCATAGTGAGGGTCATGGGTTGTGTTAAGTTTATAATTCATAGGATCATGTGAATTTCGTTATGGTTATAGTTTCGTGGTAGCCATTATGTGATAATGTGCCTTTTTCGGTTCATTGTTCTTTGTGGTTATTATTTAACAACTTGGTATTTTAATGCATGATTGATTATGTGACTACTTGAATTGAGTCGGACTATCATGTGATACCCCTCGATTCCGAAACAAGGGTTGATCAGGTCCGCGCACAAAATTAAGGGATATCAAACAATTAATACTTTAAAACAAACACAGAATACAAATAGATAAATAAAGAATAGTTAAAAGCTGAAAGGAAGACTAAAATATTAACTAAATAATTATATCCAGTAATTAATAAAACTTCTCTGATGCCAATAATCCTCCAAAAATACAACTCGGGAATCCATAACATGTGGACCCCTAAATAAAATCCTAACAGAAATAAATACTAACACTAAGTCTAATAAGTAAATGAATAATCTGAAGAATGTCCTACATCAATGACACGGAAGAATGAAGATGAACAATCTCTGATCTGAACTAACAACTCTAAGATTGGTACTGCCAAGGACCTGAAAAAATAAAATGGTGGGTCAGGCCCACAAACAATTTCCCTATACTACGACCCATTCAGAGTACTGATAATCAATACGTCTGGTGATGACCTTGTGGGCGGGTGTCAGAGACACTGACAAGCTACTACACTGGCGAGCTACGGGTGCATAAGTCTCATATCGCCTGGGAAAGGGAAAGGTGAAGTGCTTATATGTAAGTGTGTCATCTTCAATTGGTATGAGGCCTTTTGAGGTGAAGCCCAAGAGCAAAACTGTGCGGGCTCAGGCCCAAAGCGGATAATATCATACCATGTGGTGGAGTGGGTCGTTACAAATGGTATCAGATCTTGACCCAGCCAGAAGTGTGCCAACGGGGACATCGGGCCTCCAAGGGGGTGGATTGTGATGATCTTGTGGGCAGGTGTGCCGTGGGCGGGTGTTAGAGACACTGACAGGCTACCACACTGGCGAACTATGGGTGCACAAGTCCCACATCGCCTGGGAGAGGGAAAGGTGAAGTGCTTATATGTAAGTGTGTCATCTCCAATTGGTATGAGGCCTTTTTAGTGTAAAACCCAAGAACAAAGCCGTGTGGGCTCAGGCCCAAAACAGGCAATATCATACCATGTGGTAGAGTGGGTTATTACACATCCCTAGCCAAACTCATACTATATTTATATAGTCGATACATACATATATATACATATTAAGATTCTCACTAGTAATAGGGCAGTCTCAACCGTGTAGTAGGGATCATGAAATGCCCACACAAGGTGGTCATGAATACCGTCATCTACTAGGGCACACACATCTCCTATTCTAGCTACCTATCTGAATCCGGCAATATACGCCTCAATCCTAACCATAGATCCCGAGACCTCAAACTCGTATCATGGCTCTCATATATGTATACCACATAAATAAATAAATGTCATATCTAACAACAGTAACAATAGAGTATCATGACTTAATAGCCAACCTACCTACATATCAACACAATAATACCATATCTAACAATAGTACAAAATATCAATAAGCCTAACTTGATAGCTATCTCAATGATCATCATCACATACATGAATAAATCTCATCATAGCCATATATTTAATAGTATATCAATTATAATTCATAGTAGTTTAAATCTAGAACAACGATTATGATAGATACATGATTTAAGAATCATAATATCAACAACTCTTATTTAACAAGGATAAACATACAATTAACTATATCCATTTATTATGCTCGTAAATCATACAAATATTAACAACAATGCTTATAATCATATAACCAACAACTATATTTAATTACACAAATTAAATATTCCAAAAGATTAATTGATGTACCAATGTAATCAACAATCATATTTAATTACACAAATTAAATAATACGAAAGATTAAATCAATTTTAGTTAATTTATTTATTTATTTCCATCTAACATTAAAACACAAAGGTCTATCACCAAATTATATATTTTAGACCTATACTACTGTCCCCAATACCAGTAAACATGTTCGGGATTAATTATATTCAAAACGGGGTTATTTAAAACAATTTTGGAAAAAAAACAACCCCCAGAGCTCGAGCACAAACCCCAGTGCTCGAGCACTGCGCGTCGGAACAGCTTTGTGCTCGAGCACAAAGTTCCTGGCAGCGTGCGCAGATCTAATTCTTGACCTGTAAGTCCACGATTTGGGTCCTAAAACATGATTTTTAAGTCCCATAAGATCACCAATGATTTATATAACAAATATACATTAGATCTAACAATTTAAAACAAGTTTCATGCATCAAATCAAAGAATCCACCAAGTTGAAAAATAAACACATATGAACATGGAATCCTTTAATTTAATTCATGCATAGGAATTAGTTTGTCCATTTAAATTCTTTGATTTAATCCCTAAAGTCTAATAAGTGATGTAGAGATCATAGATTCAGAAGGGAAGAGATAGAATAAGAACTTGCCTTATGATTTTCAAATTAAAAGCAACTATGAATTCTTTGATGTTATTCTCTAAATCCGGCGATCTCCAAGTTGTCTCCGATCACCTTCTTCTTCCTCTTCTTTCTCTCTCTCTCTCTTTTTCTCTCTAGATCTTTGCTTCTTTTGTAACTCACATATGTGTAAAACCCTCTTTTTCTAACTCCCACGTCTATATATACTAACACCCAAATCCTAACCTAAAACTAACTAAAAATAAAATAATAATAATAATAATAATAGTAATAATAATCATATTACTACTATTATTATTATTCCTTTTACATAATAACTTACCAAAACACTAACCATTTACCATAAACATATATATTTATCTATATATATAAATAACATGCACACACACACACACACATATATATATATAAATAACATGCACGCGCGCACGCACACACACACACACACACACACACACACACATACATATATATAAATAACATGCACACACACACATAAATACATATATGCATATATGCACACACACATAAATACATATATACATATATGCACACACACACATAAATACATATATTCATATATATATATGTATGTGTGTGTGTGTGTGTGTGCATGTTATATATATATATGTGTGTGTGTGTGTGTGTGTTATATATATATGTGTGTGTGTGTGTGCATGTTATATATGTGTGTGTGTGTGTGTGTGTATATGTGCATGTTATTTATATATATAGATAAATATATATGTTTATGGTAAATGGTTAGTGTTTTGGTAAGTTATTATGTAAAAGGAATAATAATAATAGTAGTAATAGGATTATTATTACTATTATTATTATTATTATTATTATTATTATTTTATTTTTAGTTAGTTTTAGGTTAGGATTTGAGTGTTAGTATATATATATATATATATATATATATATATATATATATATATATATCCACCTTCCCATGGGCCATAATTCTATGTAAACATCTAGGCCTTTTCTAATTAACCCAAACCAACCCAAACCCATTCGTTATATATATATATCCACCTTCCCATTGGCCATAATTCTATGTAAACATCTAGGCCTTCTCTAATTAACCCAAACCAACCCAAACCTATTCGTTTGGGTCACACAACTCTAAGCCCAATTCATGACTAAGTTGAAAATATAAACTAGCCCAATTAACTAAAACACATTAAATAATAAAACTAATTACACATAAACAATTAATGACAAGTAAAGCACATTAAACAATTCAAATAATCTAACTACACAAAATAATCTCACAAACACTTAAATCACATAATTAACAATTAAATAATTTAAATCAATTAATCACATAATCAAATAGCCACGTAATCATATATACTCAAATAAAATGCAAATTAAATAAATAAATAAATCCAAATAATTTCTTTGAAAATTAGGGGTATTACATTCTTCCCTCCTAATAAAGGAATTCTGTTCCCGAAATTCACCACATACCTTATTTAAATAATTCTGAAAATTTTGAACGGATCTCATCTTCCCGTTCCTGAGTGAACTCGGCCTCATTATGATGGCTACACTGAACACGCACAAGAGGAATAACTTTGGTGTGAAGCACTTGATTCCTATGATCAAGAATATGACAAGGTGGCTCTACGTATGTCGTATCCGGTTGCAACTCAATATCACCAACATCTATGTGTTGATAGCGATCCTCATCTCGCAAAAATTTCCGCAACATGGAAATATAGAAAACATTGTGGACTCGATGTAAATGGTCTAGAAGTGCCAATCGATAAACTATAACTCCCATACGATCCGTAATCATAAATGGTCCTACGAAACGAGGTGATAACTTCCCTTTCTTCTCAAAGATCCCCAACTTGAAACTCTAGTGAACGAGTACGACGATCAACATAACTCTTCTGCTTACTCTAGGCAGTACGCATACGATCTCGAATAAGAGTGATCTTCTCAAAGGTATCCTTAATTAATTCGGGACCCAAAATTTTGCTCTCACCAACCTCTAACTAACAAACAGGAGATTTACACGATCTACCTTACAATGCTTCAAAAGGTGCCATACCAATAGTCTTCTGGTAACTTTTATTATAAGCAAACTCTATAAGTGGCACGTAATCTTCCCAATTGCCCTTAAAATCAAGGACACGTGCTCTAAGCATATCCTCCATGATCTGATTAACTCTCTCTGTCTGTCCATCTGTCTGAGGATGATAAGCAGTGCTAATATGCAACTCTATACCTAAAACCTACTGAAAACTATCCCAAAATCCTAAGACAAAGCTCGAATCCCTATCTGAGATGATGGACAATGGTATGCCTTGTAGCTTCACAATCTTTGTAACGTAAAGCCTCGCCAACTGTTTTGAAGTGAAATCAGTGCGAATAGGCAAGAATGAGTTGATTTAGTCAATTTATCAACCATGACCCAAATAGAGTTGTGATTCCTATTTGAATTAGGCAATCCCTAAACAAAATCCATGAAAATAGTCTCCCATTTTCACTCCGGTATAGGGTGTGGCTGCAAAGCACCTGGTGACCTCTGATGTTCAATCTTAACCATCTAACAAGTACTACACTTAAAGACAAAAATGGCAATGTCCCTCTTCATATTGCCCACCAAAACTACCGCTTCATGTTTTGATACATTTTATCACCACCTGGATGAATGGAGAACTCAGATTTGTGAATGTCAGTCATCACATCCTTCCTCAAATCATCAGCAGAAGATACTACTAAGCGCCCCTTATAGCTGAAGCTTCCATCAGTCCCAACAGAATAAAATGGAACATCCCCAGAAGCTAACTCTGCAACTTTATTAATGCACTGTTGATCCGTAAGTTGTGACTTAAGTACTTTGTGGATGATAATAGGTGTAACTACTACACAAGCCACAAAAGCATCACACAACTCATCTATTGTCTTCAAAACATCATATTCTATAGTAAACAATGCTGAAAGACTAGTATAAGGTCGGCGACTAAGTGCATGTGCCATTACATTCACTTTCCATAAATGGTACTGTATAGAGAAGTGGTAATCTTTCATAAACTCCAACCACCTATGATGTCTCATATTCAGCTCCCTTTGTATGAATAAATATTGCAGACTCTTGTGGTCACTAAATAATCTGAAGAACTCTCCCAACAAATAATGCCTCCAAATGCGTAAAGCAAAACCACAGTTGCTAACTCTAAGTCATAAGTAGGATAATTAAGCTCATGAGGCTTAAGCTTACGTGACCCATACGATACTGGTCACTCCTTCTGCATCAAAACACATCCCAAACCCTGCAAAGAAGCATCTATATAGACAAGATACTCTATCCCGCTCTGTGGAGTAGCTTAAACAGGTGCAAAAGTCAACTTACTCTTCAAATCATCAAAACCTTTCTGACAGTGTTCATCCCATACAAATGGTACACCCTTCTTAGTCAGATGAGTGAGTGGTCCTGCTATATTTGAGAACCTCTAAATGAATCTGCAATAATATCCTACCAATCCCAGAAAACTGCAAATTTCTGAAGGTGAGGTAGGTTGTCCCCATTCTAAAACTGCTGAGACCTTGGCTAGATCTACCGTTATCCCTTTCTCGGACACCACGTGGCCCAGAAACTTCACCTCTCACTGCCAAAAGTCATACTTCTCAAACTTAGCATATAACTAGTGCTCATGAAGTGTTTGCAATACTGTGCGAAGATGTCTGGCATGATTATCCTCTGACTTAGAATAGACCAAAATATCATTAATGAATACGATGAAAAATTGATCTAAGTAAGTCTTAAAGACCCTGTTCATCAAGTCCATAAAGACAGCTGGTGCATTAGTCAGCTCAAAAGGCATGATACGGAACTCGTAAGATCCATATCTAGTGACCCTTCATCCTTGGGATGCCAAACATTCTTGCACATCCTTAGGATTTCAAAGGACGCATTCACTTGTATAATCCATACCCTACTGAGCAGTTGTACTCACCCCTATTATACAAACATTTTTCAGGAAAAGAGTCATTTGGGACGACAATCGAAGTTGATGACAAGTTTTGATTCATTTGCGTTTACATTTGTCGTATATGTAATTCAATGTATAAATTGGAGTTATACACTCAATAATGTATTTTACTTTCTTGGAATTATAAGCCGGTATTTTAACCTTGAGGATGTATTTTTATAGTATTTCAAAACAATGTAAATGAGGCTAAGGGCTAATTTTCTTTTTATGTATATTTAAAGTTCCATTTTGGCATCCAAATGTTTTATTTTAGTATTTAATGCATTCGGGGGTATTTTCATCCATTCCACGCATTACTTTCACTTAAGATTGACCTTATAGGACTTAGGGATTATTTTGGGCAAGGGGACACAATGTACCAAAAATTGGGTTTTCTCTTTTAAAATTTTGGTCACGGTTACTATTCATCCATTTTTTTTTTACAACCGACCAACCACTCCAGGACATTCCGAGGTCATTTGGGTGTATTTGGACACCGCATATTCAATTTAAACCTTGAGAAACCTTTTTGGCAGCCTACTTTCAATTCTTGGGCAGAATTCGCAGTTACTGTTCATGCGTTTGACAAATTTTTCACTCGATCTTATAATAGTCAGAACTCCCTTATTTCAAATCCAAATTAGGTCATTCTTGCATCTAGACTCAAGTATTTTGAGTCAGTTTTCCAATGGTACCAATCTTATTTTTAGATTCCATTTTTACTAAGAGTTATACTTGTTTTAGTGGGATAGTGTCGAGATATCACTTGACCGGTACTTTTGGGAAATCTTGTCTTTGAGCCTTAGGACCACTTTGGATGTCTCAAATTATTTAGTTTGGATTGTGATCGCTTAATTTGACTTGTTTAGAGTCAAATTTCATATGCTTTGGGTAAAATAACCATTCTACCCTTATTTTAGTATTTTGTTCGTTTTGATCTTAGCTTCTGCTTTTGTCTTCAAGTTTTGTCTTAAGACTTCTTATGAGGCTCTCTTGTTGTCTTAGAGGTGATATTTACCTTTAGTGACCCTTCTTTTGTTTTCCCTTTCACATTTCAGACTCGATATTGGGTTGGGTTTCGGGTTACTCTCTGACGCTCCAGGTTATGGAAATTTGGGCTGTTATAGTAGCCATTCGTATGGACTCATGGATGCATGATCCTTAATCAATGCATGAGGGATTCCAATTTACGCTTATCATCAATCTTTTTAAGGTTGCATGCTTTAGATATCGTTAAACTACCACATGTTGTTGTCGAACTCCTTTTGATGTTGGGATAATGTTTCTTAAATGTACTGTGCATGTATTTTCCATTCATGGTTCATATTTCGGGTTTGAATGCGTTGAGACATGGCTAGGAAACTTGTTTTTAGATTGATTTTGCTTCAGGGGTCCATCTGATCGGTTAGATAGGGCCATTTAACCGGTTAGATGGGCCTAATAGAATGCTATTTTGCTGCCTCATTTACCTGATCGGTTAGATGAGGTCATCTAACCGGGTAGATGAACTTCGGTATATTCTCCCACTTCTGGACTAGTCATCTGATCGGTTAGATGATCCATCAGTCAGATGAGGTCATCCGATTAGTTAGATGAACCATCTAACCGGTTAAATGGTCTTCCATTCTTACAATTGACCTTCTCTTCAACCAACCATATCGCATTCATTTTAAATCCAATTGAGGTCACTCTCGAGCCTAAATTTATTATTTTTGAGTTGGCTATCCAATGGTATACACCACATCCTCTATTTTAGAAAGGAAATTACTATTTCACCCCCTCGTTCCACATCATGTTGGTTTCGACCTTAGCTTCCGTATTTATTAATCGGATCATCGGGTCGGGTTACATTCTTTTCATTGATGAACTGAATCATGGGATTTGGGGCATCACATAGCGTTTTGCATTAAATCTTTATTATTATTATTATTTTTTTTTTTTTGCGCCAAAAAATCCCATCAACTAACCAAGGGAAGTTATTTTACTAAAATACACCCACCAAAAGTTGTGAGTGAGTGAATTTATTTTAACTCAACCAATTGTGTAAATTTAAGTAAAGTATTATGTTTTTTTCTTTGTTTCTTAAATATTATCTATTAGATGCATCATCATAATTTAATTTAAAGAAAAGTATATAAAAAAGAAGAAGTCAAATTCATAGTTGTGAGTGCAACTACATGTAATTTCTTTAGCATATATCTATCATAATTAAATCCTACAATATCTGATCCTCTTTTTTTTTTTTTTTTTTTTTTATTCAACCAAATAAAATGAGATAGAATCTACTATTTTATGTCATTCAATTGCATTTTGTAATAAAAATTCATTTTTTGTCGATCTAATTGTTTGATCAAATGTCTATCTCATATGCTTGTGTGTGTGTGTATATATATATGCATTATATAAAATTAAAATTAAAATAAAATAATAGTATATATAATATATAATATTAGTAAACGTATAAAATTTGAACGTATATGTTGTTGCACTCTGATTTTCTTTAGCTAAAAGTATGGTGTTACATGTAAAATAAAATATAAGTTTAAATATTATTCAAAAACAAAAACAAAAACAAAAATAAAAAAAATAAAAATAAAAAATAAAAATAAAAATAAAAAAAAACTTCCTATGAGGTTTGTCAATATCTGATATCGACCCCTCTATGTTTCATAACTCCACTTACTTCCCTTATCATTGACAGCTGTAAAACTTGGTAATGGTAATGTGTTACTCTACCATTTTGCCCATCAAATATTTGTTGTCATTTTAGGCACTAGAGGAGCAAAAGTGACCTTCTATCATT